TGTCCTGCATGGAGTCGCCCAGCTTCTTGCAGCCCAGGATGATTGGACAACCTTCCACAATTCCTCTGCATTTCTTGGTTTTGCCTAAGAAGCAGCATTTTTGAATGTTTTGAATGTGTTTGGGGTCGTTGTCTTGTTGAAACACTCATTTCAAGGACATTTCCTCTTCAGCATAAGGCAGCATGACCTCTTCAAGTGTTTTGATATAAGCAAATTGATCCATGATCCCTGGTACGTGATAAATAGGCCCGACACCTTAGTAAAACAGCCCTATATGGTGATGCTTGCACCACCAGGCTTCACGGTCTTCAGAGTGTTCTGTGGCTTGATTTCAGTGTTTGGGGGTCGTGTGACAAACTGTCTGTGGCCCTTGGACCCAAAAGGAACAATCTTACTTTCATCAGTCCAGAAAATGTTTCTATATTTCTCTTTAGGCCAGTCCATATGTTCTTTGGCAAATTGTAGATTAGTTTCACACAAGCATTTTCTAATTGTCACAGTACTCACAGGTAATTTCAGATACCTCCGATATCCCTGGAGCTGATTATGGGCTTAGTCTTTGTCGTTCTGGTTGTTGTTCCATCCATTCGAATGGTAGTCTTCTGTTTTCTTCCACGTCTCTCTGGTTTGGCTTTCCTTTTTAAAGCATTGGAGATCATTTTAGCTGAGCAGCCTATCATTTTCCCCTCTCCTCAATGTTTTAATTAAATCTCGCTGTTCTCCTGAACACTATCTGGTACGACCCATGTTTCTCAGGTTTTCAGAGACGATTGCACGTACAACATGTGCTGGCTTCATCCTTAAATAAGGGCCGCATGAATGACACCTGTTTCTTCACATAGTGAACGACCTCACTGATTGGACTCTGCTATTACTTTGAACACGCCCCTTTCACTTCATTATTCACTTGCACAGACTCAGGTGCATTCATGTGATGATTGTTGGGTCTGTTGGTTTCTCTGACTCTGCTGCACCTACTGATAAATTATTTGCCATGTAATAATATGATTTATATCAAAAACACTGACGGATCTGGTTAATCATGTTGGACTGCTATTACTTTGAACACAACTGTACATATTCCAGTGGTTGCATCGATTTCAAGTTGAGGTGAGTGTCTTGCTCAATAATACGGCACAGAAACCAAACCAGTCTGCATGGAGGGATAAGAAAAGATGATCTGTGCCACTGCTTGAAAAAGCATTCTCGTTTCTTGTTTCCTCTCCCATGAACCTGCTGCCCTCCATCTTTGAACCAAGGCAGGTGTTCGTAATGGTTTATATTTTTGTATCTGGACAGATTGACATCCATCTGTTTATCATTCATTTTCTGCTGTGGCAGCAGCAGAGATGCCCAGACCTCCAACTACACAGTCACCTCTGAGGGGACATCAAGATGTTTCCAGGCCAGCAGAGACATCATTTCTGTAGCGTGGGTTTACCCCGGGACCTCTGCCCAGCAGGACATTAGGGCTGTTCGATATAACGATATATATCGGGTGACGATATAAAAACGTCTGTCGTTTGTTCACTTGGACTTGATGCCTCCAGCCTCCCTCAAAATGCTGTCAGATCTCTGCCGATGGTCTGCATTGAAGCTCACATACAGCAGGGCCACTGTCATACTCTCCCAGCTTACCCACACTATGCCACACTATGCTTTTGGGGTCACCGTGCCATGTTCAGCATCCTCTCCTGCCCCCTGATTCACAACCAGGTGGTACAGCAGGGGCTAGGCATTGGCATTAAGCCCTGGCACCACCTGTCACCTCTCGGCCACCACCCAGTCACAACCAGAGATGGGCAGTAACGTGTTACTTGTAACGCGTTACTGTAATCCGATTACTTTTTTCAAGTAA